ATCCCTAATTTAAAATGAAAGTTCTATTATTTTAGTAGTGGTCTTGTAGTAGTATTAACTAAGAAAAATAATCCAAATAAAAATATATATTTTTAAAAACCACGTTTTTTGTAGTGAAGAATAATAATTGAAAAGTAATAATTTTTAAAAAATATAAAATAAAAATTAAAAAAATTATAATTTAAAATAAAAAAATTGAAAATAAAAAAATTCAAAATAAAAAATAATATTTTTAAAAACTACGTTTTTGTAGTGGAGAATAATAATTAAAAAAAATTGAGAAACGAAAAACGTGGGGCGCATGAAATACATAACAGCACATATACACATACATATACACATTTTCTTACTCATACACATGCACAGCCACATATACATCCACACACACATACATCCACACACAAACATATTCCACATCCACATTCAGATACAATTACAATTACAGATATACATTCACATATTCTCAAGAGCACACATACACACACTAATATAACATTACTGTTATGCATTTCATGCGCCCCACGTTTTTCGTTTTTCAAATTTGTTTTACTTAATATTCTCCACTACAAAAACGTGGTTTTTAAAAATATTATTTTTTATTTAATATTATTTTGTTTTGAGTTCAGGGAAAAAATTTTCGAAGGTTTGCATTGTTGGAGACTTTCACATCGGAGAATTGTGTTTTGCTGAAAATTTGATTCAAGTCCCCGGATCTAAACCCATGCCTGGGTCACTCAAGCAAGATTCTTCACATCACCATCAACAGCCTTGAACAACATTTACGAATTTGCAAAGGAATGGAAGTCTCTTTAGTTTGTTGACAATTCCGCGTCTTAGTTTCAGTTTGTCAAGTTCCACGTCTCTTCAGTTTGTTGACAGCATTGTACACAGTGAGTTCAGACGGTGCCCGTCCTGCATAGTAACTAGAGGTGATCGCATCTCTACCAGTTATTCGACACATCTCTACCGTTTTGACCTTCTGTCAAACTGTGTTGGAAGCTAAGTTGTGAATAAAGTTCTTTTTTAACCATTGAATTTCTATTTTGTTTAGTTTAATTTTGCTCACTTCTTTCCATGTTATGGGATTATTAGCGTTGATTTGGATCACTTTGCCTGATGTAAGGCTCCTATACTATCAGAGCTGACCTATCAAGCAGTATTGGAGCAAACAAGTTTGCACGTTAACGTTATGTTAGTATTGTGCTTATGTTAGCTCTTTGGAGCAAAAATAGATGATGAGTCGGCCTGTCTAATTCAGGGGCTCTCGCCTGACGTAACATTAAAAAAGTCATCTTGTCCTTAATTTCTGTGTAAGTGTGTGAAAAATAATTTATTAAAAATATAAGTGTTATTAAAATTACCTACGAATGGATTAAAGTAAATAGTATAGTTTATTTGAAAAATAAAATTTTTAACTCGACTTTTGCTTAAACTAAGTAAAAATAATACCCTACCTTTAATACGCAAAATTATTTGCCTTGTAAGATTTCAGGGAAGATTTGAAAATTTAGTTGTTAAACAGCGTAAATTCATTAAATTCTCTGTAATGAAGAAATGGATAAGGAAAATATATCAGTGGAATATTCAGTAATGTTCATAAACTTCATTCTTTCAAGTTTCTCTTTAACACATTAGCAATATTGAATAAAAACAATCTGCTATTCGTTTTAAATAATCGAGAAGGTTGACTGGTTGTTCGCTTAAATAGCACTGCAGCTGTTACAACATGCACATGATTTCACAATTAGCTAATGGAGGTAAAACCAGTTTTAATAACACTATACATCGAAACTGATGGCTGTTTATTAAAATAATGTGTGAGGAAGTATAAAGAAACAAACTTTTGCTGTACAGAATCTATAAGTAATTGAAAATTGAACTTTTCGCTTTGACTTTAAAGCAAAATGTTCAAATAAAGTAACATTATTTCATATTGATGTAAATTTTTTTTCATGAAAAATCTTTGCTTGAAACACAGGGGTAAAAAATTTAAAAAAATGTAATGCAAAGCAAATAAAGTTTAGAATTAACTAATTGTAAAATTAATTTGAAAATAACATATAATTAGGTTCCTTTTTGCTGAGGAAAGTTTCGAACTTTATCCTAATTTCTATTTAATATGCTTTTTATTTTTTAATTAATAAAGAGAAAAATAAAATATTTAATCGATTTGTGAGTTTATTATTTAATTGATACAAAAGCATGGTAAGAAAGTTCCTGGGTGCAATGCAAATCACTCTTTTTATGCACACAATCTTAAATGTTTCAGTAAATTGGGTCATAACTTTAATAGCATTGTGGTTGAGAGTCGATGCCTCTTGAAAACGTTAAATCAATTTAAAAAAATCTTATTTTATTAATACTATCATTAATACAAAATGAAAGGTATTCTATATACAATATATATATATATATATATATATATATAGACTAGCCTCCCCTGACAGCAATAACAGCAGTTATTCTCTTGTGCATCGGGTGGAACAGAGATTGGATAGCATGGACGGGTACAGCATTCCATGCAGCTTTAACATTATGCCACAATCCATCGACCGTAGTGGCTGACGTGTGGTGGCGCGCCAGTCATTCGGCAACCATTGACCAGACGTTTTCAAGGGTGAGAGATCACGAGAACTTACTGGCCAGGGCAACAGGTGAACGAGTTCTGTGTCAAAGACAGTGCGGGCATCCAGGGCTAAAGAGAATACAAGGGCT